TATGTTCTCCTGTTTTCAATAACATCAACCAAACGAACAGGTAATACTTGTGACTATTCTGTTCCTCAATACCTCATTAAGGCAGGCTTATATCTCTTGATATATAACCTTAGCCCTTAATTCATAAAAACTAAATCAGTCTAAATGCATAGTTTTAACTAAATTACACATCTATCTCTTTTTATCACAACGTTTACAAAATTTGACGGAAAGAGACAAAATAATTATCGAAAAGGCTAAAATAAATGTTAATTATGTGATTAATATCCTCTTTTTGCTATTCTATGTATACGCAATTTAATCGGTAAATGCACGAGCGTATAGTTCTCGTTAATTAGGATCCGTTCGAGTCCACTCGGTTAACGTAATTTATTTCGAATTCATATTAATTCTACGTTTTAAAATGTCTATACAACATACACAAATCTGTTCCTAAAATATAACAGCGACTCTAGTAAATTTATTTTATATATTACTAGCTGACACGGCAAACTTTGTTTTGCGATGTATAATATTTCTAGGACAAATTTTTTTTTTTTAATAAAAATAGCTATCTACAATAATAAAAAATAGGGGTGAAAATTAGGGGTATATAACCCCTATTTTTGTATGCTGTATCATAAAAAAATAAAAACAAATAATTTTTGGGCTGGACACCCCTTATCACTTAGGGGGTTGAAAGATAGATAGTAGCCGATTCTCAGACCTACTGAATTTGCATATAAAATTTGATAAAAATCGGTCAAGCCGTTCCGGAGGAGTATGGTACTAACATTGTGACACGAGAATTTTATATATAAGATAGTTTACATTCTTTATTTATACATCATGGTATTGCTACGTCTTCATACTTACCATATATTGACTTGATTCTATCGGTATGTGTGCTGTTCCCTCTCTTTTTAAATTACAGCGATTCTAACATATAATAATGCCTCTTTGTAATTATAGAAAAATCTTGGAAACCTCGATCGTCACAACAAGCCCGTTAAGTCATTACTATTTAAATTCAAAATACGTGGGTAACACTGAAAATGTTTAGAACTGGCCAGTTAGAAACATTGCTAATGAAAACATTTTTTTAATTTAAATTTTTGAACTCTTTAAATTTTTGGTGACCTAATGTAGTATATTGCACTCATTTGTCATTTGTTTTTGTGAATTGGCGGCAAATCTAAAACTCTTCTTACACGTGAAAATGAACCTAACGCGAGAAAAGTGTTGGTCAATGATTTATTATGACTTTCGTTGTAGGCTTACTCAACAACAAAGCTATGATTGGCTGTATTTGACATCGTCACAGGTGACGAAAGCTGGATATATTGCTACAAACCCGAAACCAAAAGACAATCAGCTCAGTGGGTGTTTCCTTTTGTGGATCGGCCATTTTAGGTAAAGAAAGGAATAAGTCAAGGAAAAAATTCTTTCGTCGGAAAGGTCATTTTGCAACAGTTGTACAAATCGCTGTTTGCCTGTTGTCTTGGAAAAAAATCGACAGCAGCGCCCTCGAAGCAAGATCCTCCTTCACCACGACAATGCTTCAGCGCACTCCGCAAAACGATCAGTAAAACAGTCCGCTGTTGATTATTTCACTATGCCTTCGCCTTACAGTCCTGACCTGGCGCCCTGCGACTTTCATTTATTCCCAAGAACTAAAAATAAAATTCGAGGTATACGCTGTTAACGAGCCCTGAAGATGCGGTGAATGTGTACGAAAATGCCATAGAAAGGAAGAATGGGCCCACTGCTTTTTTTCAGTAGTTCCATCGAATGCGACGACGTGTAGAGACTGAGTAATAAAAAACTACGGGTTGCACTCCGGGAGTGCCGGCAGAAGTAAAAACTTGAATATTAAAGTTGTGCATTTTTGATATTTTGGAATGGTTAGGGAATAATTTTGCACGAATCGCTTTAATTATCAGTATAAAAGTACTATCATTTACGTCGTAGAATACAATATTTATTTATTGCGCTATCGTACACAAACATGACAATTTATATTACATTCAATACGCCGCGCCAGCTGTCTACTCTCCATCCGTCGTCAGTCTGACCAAATCGTTAGTAATAAAGATTTAGACGTTTCGCAAAATTAAACTTTGATGTATTGACATAAGGTCCAATTCCACATGCATCAATGTATCTGAGGAAAGAGACAAATGAATTAAAACCGTAACTATATAGCACGAAGGTTCATAATCCTTTAAAAAAACATTCGTCTTACGAATTTGTCCTGACGCGAGTTTATCATTTTTCACCCATCCAAAAAAAAGTTTACAACGCCGTTAAAGAGGTTTTCACTTCAAGATAAACGATTTCCCTGTATGGATTCCTTGTATTTTATCTTTGTCTAATTTCAATTGTGGGCTAATTTGATATCGATAAAAATAACATTCTATTGTCCCATACAATTTCCGAAAGAGGCACGTTAATTACGATTATAATATATAACTATTTAAATAATATATATTCATATAAATTATGTCCTTATCGTAACACTTATGTAACGTTATGTTATGATTTATAGTGATCCGAAGGTATTTTTATGGTTTTATAGCCGATATATGAAATTCAAAGCAAACTCACGAAGGTTACACACAAGCATTGTTTGTGCCAAACTATTCCTTATGTTTTAAATTTATTGCCACCAGCAGATGTTCTTTTGTCCCCCCTCCCGTTTACTTCCGCTTACACATACATATATTTAAATGAATACTTTAATAAAATATTAAGAAGTTTCGTTCCGATATATATTCTAAAATAACGGTTAATTTTGCGTTCTCTTCATAATTATTAAAATAAAAGCAGAGTAAACAAATGTATTCGCATGATCTTTGATATTAAGCGAATCAGTGAATATGCGGAGCATATTTATTACATATACTTATAAAATGCAAATTACATGATCTTGTTCTCAAAATAATTTTGCCTGGAAGAGATCGCTTACTAGCGATAAGGCATTCAACGCATACCAAAGAGTATGGTGTCTGCCTTGTATGATATGGTTTTAAGTCAAATAAATGTTTCAGGTTATATATTTCTTTGTCATGTGTAAGACGATCTTGAAGTTTATCTACTCATTCGAGGGTGATGTGGGAATTCATTGAACCAGGTAAAAACCTTCAATCTATTGGCATTTTTACTCTGTTTTTTCTCTCTCAGTCTATCGTATGTAAAGTTAGCTTCAGCAATATCGCATCTTAATCATTGTACTTTGAATGTAGCTACTTCTGAAATTGTAAAGTTTACTCAGTGTTACTGAAGCGGACTCTACACGTCTCTGACGTTCATACTTTGAATTTGACTTTAAGTTTCTCTCGCTCGCATCGCTTTGTAGATCCTTTCATCAGTGTTTTATGCACACCATCCATGGTTTATAATAATTTCTACTGCATTTTCCTTTCACTTGTTCAACTTTCAACTGTTATTTAATTTGATTCCTTATTACAGTGTGATATGCATGAAGTATATGCGGTATAAGTAGTGTATTATCCAAATTGCCATGTAACTTTACTGAATGGTTTCTAAACCTAAAGTTGGCGTAAACGTAAAGGTGTGAAAATAAATCATTTAACATTGTTCTGAGGGCTATGATGAACATGATATAAATTATCAATTTTTAAATAAATGAAAATTTAGTAACAAATAAAAATTAATTATTCATAAAGTACAAGCTTACATACTAGTATTCATAATGAATTATTTTACCAACCACGGAAATGTCGCATAATACTGATTATACTATATACCAAATCTTGTAACATTTCAGAGTACGTGGAGACATATAGCTAGAGTATTTTTTTAGGTTAGCAACCTTCGTTGTGCCCTTCAGCATGGCGTCTTACTAACTTATAGCTTTGTATTTATTTCTCCCGCCCGTTGACCCAGAAAACCGCACAGCGAACCTTTCTGCACATGACAAAAGTGATTGTATATTGTTTATTCAATTAAGACTTTGTATAACTTGACTTTACTATCGCAAGAAAAAATAATAAATTTTTTTCACAATTTATATAGTAGCAAACAGGTATTACAATATGTTTTGTGAACTAGAAACACAAAACTAGATAATCCTTTTATAGACAAATTCATCTTGTAATAAATCTAGCCAGAAGTAAAAAAGTATTTAAACAGTACTGATGTGCTTGATAAATATGTATGCTAATAATGTATATAATACATTTACTAAAGTGATATAAAACTTCAATCTATTATGAAATTTATAATACGTATGGTTATGATGTGAATTGATTCAGTCGTCATCAGAAGTTTACGCTTTTTATTAATCTGTAAATCGTTGGGTCATAAGAATTTAGAAGTTCAAGATATAATAAATGGCTTATGTAACAAGAAGTAAAATTGGAAAAATAAGTTGGCGAGCTCGTTACGATAAACAGTAATCCCCAGAGTCACGTGTTCCACTTTCCACACAGTTTTTATGCTATTTCATGAAAATGCTAATATGATTCAGCGAAATTTATATAATAAATAATTACATAAAAATAATTTTTTGCTCTTATTGTTTAGCCAATAACGTTAAACTTGAAATAATTTCATTATCATATATATTAACGGAGAACTGCTGAAATCCTGTGATTACGACGTCGATCGAATTTCGATGGACCGATCTGTTTTTCTGTCAATTTATGGTGTGATATTGTATTAAGAATTTAATGGAACTGGAATGTCATAGCACCAAAAATAAACGTATCAAGGCCGATCCTAATACCTAATTACCTACTCGCCTACCTATAAAGAAATATCAATGAAATGTGTATGACTGTAATTTAGTGAGTCTAAACTGCTACATGCTAATCCAATTTAATATAGTATTGACTTACTGACTAATTAACTAAAAGATTTTTACAATTTACAGTATTCACTTTCTTGTGATCCAATGTTTAAATGAAGCGTATACATCGATGTTTTTCCTAGGACCGTAAGCGTCCCAATCTCATATGAAACGTCAACAAGTACTCTGTGCTCCCTCGCCCTCTGAGATGAAGGGGAGAGTGGGGTCAGGAGGGGATTGGGAGGGTAGCGGGGGAGTGAGGGGTCGAGATTCAACTGGTGCAATGCGGCGTACCCCTTCGCTCATCCCACTGTCCCGGTTTGTTTTTGCTATTGTATTTGCGGCGCACAGTTGGCACGCTAAGCGTTGATTTTGTTACGTTTCTTTTGTACTAGCACCTTAAATGAGGGTCGGCTGGCTATTATTCCGTTTTCTTTTTCAGTAGCAACAGTTTATTAGGACGCTATTTAGCTCGTCATAGTTGGGGTAAAGTTCACAGTAATCTCCTGCATCAACTTAATTATAACGTTACGTTACCATTTATTCAATGGCCAATCTTGCCAGTATTAGCCACCACTTTACAAACATTTCGGGTCACACATTTTCTCAAAATTAATAATTAACAACTGAAACAAAAAGTGTGTATTCTATATATTTCATCAAATATAAATGGAATGGATAAATGTTTTACAACAATAATTTTTATTTAATTACGTGTACATCTGACACGGAAAGATGATCGGTGCAACCTTTAAAGTTATCATGAAAATTTCTAACTGTAATGTATGGCTTCATATAAATTTATACATCCATGATCGTATAAGAATAATAAACATTTTATTTTTATCTCCATGCTATGAAGATAAAAATATAATAGCTATTCTATAGCGTACATTACTAAAGCACTGCGGACTTAATGCGGTATCGTTATAATGCGATTCATGGCTCTGTTTGAAATTTGGCACCTATTCAATAGTATTATAAAAATGAATATACTTGAGAGGCATCTACAAGGTATATGGCCTTTGTGTTATCAATGAAAGTCAATCAATCATAAAGAAATTTGTTAACCATAAAGCTTTTCTATTTGAGTTACTGCAGTAAACACCGACTGTTAGGATTTAACACTATTAGGAAACAATATATCATCTTCTGAAACATTAATTTGAAAGTAAAATTATTTTATGAACTAAGTTCCCGATTTGAAACTGTGTATAATATAAGCTAGATCGGAATAGTGTCTATGTCACAGACTTTAATAGATGACTAATGAATATTCATGGATGTTGAGTAAATCGAATTATACCTCTCTTGAAACCTTAACCTGTTGAATTCTCAAAGCACTTATTGTTCTAAGCACTAACTTCAAGCTCTTTCAATAGTATATTAAGGTATTGTGTAATGTTCAAGATTATTTGTTAAAATTGATTTAACAAGATACTAACTGCTTGATTGTGGGTAACGTTTTCAGCACATTAAATTCGAAGAGCGGTATTTTGTTATGAGCCATTGATTGAAAGCCTCGAGTAGCAAACTCGCAGATATTTTAATTACAATCGTATTTGGATAGGATTTCAATTAATCCACCTACAAATTTTACATTTCAAAGGATTTTTTCCTTTAATGGTTCATTTTTATAGGATTTACAGTTGCATTAATTCAAAAAAGTCTGGACGCAATTCAGTCTCTTTTGTAAAAATAAAAAATGGTTTTCAGAAATTAATTAGTATGATTCACAAACATATTGCTACGAGAAATCCTGCGAGCACTCAGCGCTACGTCTTACGAAAATGCTTACGAAATAGCGCGTCCTTCATTCCTGACAAAAACAAAAGGGGGTGTAACTCCTAAGAGTCCCCTCTCTTCATTGTCGCTCTAACTAATCCCAACTTGCCTCCAACTTTCATTTACTTTATTTGAAAAGCGACAGGCTCTTTTAGCCATAAAGTCAGCTTCAGTACGACGTCTATTATATATTTTTCCTATATTTAAACCGTACCTTTCGCAAAAAGAATATGGCCTATGGCTACATTTTAACGCTATTGATAAATTTGTCTATCTATTATTATTGCATATATTTAATGGTGATTTGAAAGCATTGACTAAAATGCCAACTGATAGCAGTTGTTTTCGTTTCAGTCAGTTTTTCTGTAAGCGTTACTGTAAAAGATAGACGCGTAAGTCGAATCAGCATTATAAGAAATATTCAGGTACAACATTGTCCTATTTATAGTATAGCAGCAGAATAGCCATTTCATAAATTATTAAAGTAGCTACTAACGGTTAGGCTTCTAGCTATTAAAAAATTAAAAATACAGTCGGAAACGAAACAGCCACTGGTTGATATAGGCGCGCTACAGGTTGCCTTCGTAAATTATTAACGGACACAGAATAACTCTTGTAAACTGGGGGGCTCCCACTCCCACACTACGCCTTCCACCCTCTAGTTATATACCTGATTTGAATGCATCTAAAGGGTTTGTGAAAGGCCCTATTGACGGCCTCTAAGAGTGGCGGGTATTATTACGAAGTATGACTGCCCGGTTCCTTAGGAGTTAGGCACTTATCAATTTTTGTAATAATTATAATATAATATAATCACATCATTTCTTGTACCATATCGAATTGGTCAATAATAGTGAAGTGAAACTTAAAAAATATCTTTCTTTCAGGTTACACAGAGGAGCAGCCTTCCACACAGTTCACCGCACAGCTTCCAAGCGAGGTGAGCCCGGCTCCCCCCGGCCCATCTCAGCCGGCGTCTCAGCCTCTCTCCTACGCTCTTCTACAAATCTCGACCTCCGACACGACCGAAACTCCTTTCATTCAGGTACATCTCCAATCTTCACCTGTCTCCCCTCCTCCGCCACCGGCGAGCGGCAAATCTACATCGTTGTGCTACACGAGCAGCGGCACCCTACTTTCACTTCCACCTAAAAAGAAGGACATCTATCGACCCTACTGCTTAGGAGATCGTGCCTATTTACAACGCCCGGAGGAAGATCTCAACGCAGCCCACGCTATCCTTGATCTTAGTCAACATGCAGTTTTCCTTACCACGCCGCCGCGCACTGAGCCCTCGCCTCCTGAACTTCCCCCACCGCCCCCGGAACCAGAACCAGAACCTTCACAAGAACAATCTGAACGCCCCCGAGAAACAGTTGCCTATACATATGATGCTTTCTTCGTCAGTGATGGTCGGTCTAAGCGACGAAATTTTGCAAATGCTCCAGTGGAAAGTGCACAACAACCGACCGACCATAAATCTAAATATACATGCAGTGAATGCGGTAAACGTTACGCCACTTCTTCAAATCTCTCGCGACATAAACAAACCCACCGCAGTCTCGATTCTGTTGCGGCAAAGCGGTGTGGAGAATGCGGCAAGGCATACGTGTCTATGCCCGCTCTGGCTATGCATGTGTTGACACATCAGCTATCACACGTGTGTGGCGTTTGCGGCAAGTTATTCTCCCGGCCGTGGTTACTACAGGGTCACTTGCGTTCTCACACTGGCGAAAAACCTTATGGATGTGCCCATTGCGGGAAAGCATTTGCAGATAGATCCAATTTGCGTGCTCACATGCAGACTCACTCCTCTGATAAAAACTTCGAATGTTCTCGATGCCATAAAACCTTTGCACTCAAAAGCTACCTCAATAAACACCAAGAATCAGCCTGTGTTCGTGATGATGACTCACCGTCGCCTGATGCCCCCGCCTCTACGACAGAATAGGCCGGTATTGCTATAGTAACTAGGGACCGTCATACCACCATTTTGGTTTACTCGTTAACGTAAAGTATTAATATGAATTTAGTTCATTAGCATAAAGTAATATAATAAATTAATATTAAATAGGCCTCTAAACCGGTACGTCCTAAAGGCGACCGGTCCACGAGTGCCGCAATCGAGCAACGTTTCGCAAACAACGAATAACGTACGACCCCGTAGTGCCGCAAGCGTGGCATTAGCCTGCAGCGACAGACGTCCTGTTAAAGATTAACATAAACATGTACATATACTTGTCGATAAATATACCCGTATATACATAGAAATAATGAATACGAATGAAATTAATATCTTTTGTAGGTGATTTTTACAACCGGAACGTAGGTTAGAGAGTATCACGGTGTAAGTTTATTATGGGGGTGCGCGTAAGCTCGTCTGTGGATGGAGACGGAGCACCTGGGTGCGCCACGTCGCGTCGGTGGGGAACTTACCGAATCTTTCCGTCCGAAGCTCCGCAAACGTCGCCGCGTCCGCCCGTGTCGATGACACAGCGCCAGCTGGCTCGATCACTCGAACCGTCCAAACTTTACGATTATACGAGAACTGCACTCATATCTGATTTTAGTTGTTATTTACAGACACAGCTAAGCACAGCTAGCAAAAAATACTGAAACGTAATGAAGAATAAATAAATCTCCGAAAATATTAAGATTAATTTAAGAGTGGTCAGAAATCTTGCGTAGACTCGTAGCGTTGCCGTAGAATCGTAGATGGTTGGATGGAGATATGTTTCTAGCTTGGCCTGTAGACTATGGCCGCGTCGACCGCCCCGTCACAGTGCCTTATCGGCGACCACGCGCCGAACCCGTCCCGCCATCGTTGCCCTTCAAGCCCCGGTGCCTCATTCGACTTTTACTCGAAAGGATATAATTTTAAGGGAATGTTTCATGAAAGGGACTACAAACATAATTCGTTTTTCTTAGATAAGCAATTCAGAAAATAGCAGAAAAGAATCCGTTTTACTACCGCTCATTGATTCAAAACAAAACAAACATTAAATCAAAAATAGGAACGAGTTAATAAATGATGGGAAATACGTATCGGGCGAGTGGCGGGCGCATTAAGCGACGTCGTTATTAGGGACGGGCAGCGCCGCATTACGCAGTGAGCAGCCTTTAGATTGAGAGTGTGTTATAGCAAGAAGTAAAGTGTAACTGGCAATAACATAACTTAGATTATAATAGATATAGACTAGGTTAAGAGACGGGCACGAGGTGCTCGGTGAGAAATGGGTATTCGAAAAGCAATAATAATGTAGGCACTAAATAAGTCGCGCACCGCAGTCAATCGACGCAGCAGACTTTATTCTAATCCTGTAGCAATCTGTAGCTGTCGTAGACGGAGTATAGCGTCGGCCTCGTGGTGCATCTTCTATACGTCACTGCGTTTCTAAGCGACCAATTTGCAAAAAAGACTATTAGTGGTATGCACATAGATTAATCGAAGTAGATTAGGTCGTAAAAAGGATCATCCGCGAGGCCGCCGCTTTAAATTTCCTATATAATATTTAGGTAGTGCCTCGCATGTCAATTTGTTCTTAATGAATTTCTTTAATCCTGTCAATTATGAGATTGTCTCGGTAAAATTACTATGTTCCCTGGCATTCACCCTTCGGATCAAAACCGTCAATTCCTCCTTTTATTCTAATTTCTATATTTCAAAATAAATTTTAGGTGTTGTTATTGGATGGTTAAGTGGTTTTTAAAAAATATTTTTTTGTTGCATAAAAATAAATACTGCTATCGACCTTTATTATTCTAAAACCGACTTATTTTGGAAAACATTGAAGCTCTAACGCAGTCAATTTACTCAGCTAAAATGGTTTAACACCAAAACTTCGTCATTAATATTCGCATTAAGTTCAGTTACTCCTATAGATAAACTTAATTAGCTATTAAACAACGGTTGCGCGTAATAAGCAATATATTGTAAATCGATAAGCAATATTAGGTTAGAATATATGTAGTTCATAAATTGTAAGTCATACATGATATATATTGTTCATATTAAGTAGTTTTCTAGACGTTTTTGGTGCTTTGGAGTACAGTATTGAACGAATCTTACATCGAATTTTAAAATAATTCAGGATTCAATAATTGTGATATTCTGTTTGAAAATTTAGTTTACAATACGTTATTATAGGTTATAGGTTATTTATAACTCTTTTCTCATCTCTCGAATTTTTTGCTTTCATTGTTATAATTGTCTGAGTGTGTACTCCTATGCGTTTTCTCTTAATTTAACGTTATAGATTAGGCTACTACATTTTTTAGCATAAAGCAATTTTATCGCTTTCAAAAATGAATCAAAAACGAGAAAATATTTTGTTCAAATATTTATACTAACGTTATTGTAGTTGTAGTTATTTTTTAATAAGCGATCGTTTAAACAAATCTAACATAGTGAAGGTAAAGTAATATATACAAAACATATACTAATATTTAAATGTAAATATTTCCATATGTACCAAATTACCTTCTTTACAATTTTTGTAGGTGTAGGTGTCAAATATTTGGAATAATATATTTATGTAGTAAATGTAGATACTTGTAAGGTTGAGCGACTTAATATTTTCCGCAAATGCAAAATTATAATGCACACACAATTAAAATTTTATTCTAACGCATTTACGATTAGATTTTATTAAATCTAAGTTTCTTTAAGTAGTACACAAACTACATAAATCCCATTTCAAATATTGTTTTATTTTAAAAACTTAGTAATAAAAGGCCATAAATCTTAGCATCGCCCGAGTGGCCGTGGCTATTTTATAATGCTTCACAGAATATCGATTATTTTATATTGACGATAGAAATACACATCGAAGCTACGTCACATTTTATGGTCTATTTATAGCTATACGATGTATGCAACGAAAAATATTATGTTTAGTATAACTACGCCGTGATAACAGTGTTCTCGTTCTTACGAGTATAAACGCATTTAAGTGATACTATACACTGTCCAAAAGTAATAAACAAGCAATAAATATCGAAAGCAATGAAAAAGAAAACGAATACTTTAAGGTAACTATAAGCAATATTTTAACAAATCGAAAAGCAATATTGACTAGTGTAACTTTAGTTTAGGGAGAGTGATACAATTAACTCAAGCATGCAAACTTGTTGCCATATAATTAGACTGCAACCAGTGATACCCGTAGTGTTGTGTACGTCATTCGCAAAGCAATACTTTTCACTTTAAACGTTAGTTAAGACTATTTATTATACACGAATATAGTGAATTTACATCTAGATTAGCTTTGTAGATTCGAAAAAGAGAACACCAATCAAAATAAGGATAGATATTATGTATAACGAATTGTGAGAATAGCTTTTTGATAGATTGGCAGTATGTTAAATAAAAACACACAGTACAAATGTAAAGTCCGAACAAAAGACAAGTATGATATAGCTTAAGAGCGGCGTCTTTCGATTGTGCGATTATTTAAACAAAAAATCACATACATTAAAAATAATATTTTACTAAATTAGAATTAAATTATTGAATTATACAACCACAAAATTCGATATTCAAAAATGTTAGTGTGTTTTTGTTAAGCATACGGCTCTGTTAAGAATTAGTTTCAAAATTTAGTATGGATAAAAATAACAGAGGTCACGAAGTATAAACTGAAAACTGGAATGGATAATTTTAATGTATGTAAATAGGGACCTTACATTTAATTTTCCAATAGTAAGGCAATCGCTAGTTTTAACTATAAGTATAATAAATTCCTGTACCAACAAAGAGTTATGAAAATATTTCGTAGTTCAACTAATTATACAAATACCTCTTTATTAAAAACACAGCATGAATATTGAGTAACGTAATTGAGTGAGAATATTCTTGCAGTTTGTGCCGAGACTTAAAATGAAAATTCCTATTTTAAAAAATAACGAAATACATCCAATATTCTAGATTTGAATTCTTATATACACGATTTAATTTATCCATACTTAAAGGAGTCTACGAGAAAAAATTCTTATACACCTACACAAAATAAAATTTTAAATTATAAATTAAGATAATACGAAAGCAATAAAGTGACAACGATAGCTAATAATCGAAATTTTACAACGAATTGTTTGTTTAGGTTTTTAATGAATGAAACAAAAATAAAACTATGGTACTCAACCCCCTTATTCATTCAAATTAAATTAAAACTAAACTGGTGTCCTCTTTGTTTCATTGACGGCGCTGTCTAACAGAGTTGAATGTTGTTGACAGGAGACAAGAAGGTATAATATATGTTTGCTTTTTATGAATAAGGAGGTGAAAGTTTAGTTTTCTGTACATTTCTTCATTAATTTTTCTTTAAATTTATCGTTTTAATAAAACTGTATAAAACTTAGCAACTTTAGATCACTACCACTAGTTTTAGAACGTGTCACGTGAAATGAGTAGAGCGTGAGAGTAGTAGATCTAGATGCAAAATATTAATAATCGTAAAGCAAAGGGGCAATAGATGCATTTTAATTGCCTCAATTTTTACAAATAAAACACCAATAAGACGACTAGTGTGAAAGTTCTACAAATATAAGGTTGTGTCTTCCTGCATTCAAAAGAAAAAAACAGTCAAATCAGCCAAGAGTCTAAACGAAAATACTGACGTATTTATGTATTTACCCCACTAATTATTTTAAGTAAAGTTCCAATTGTTGCTGGCAACCTTGAAACTCTTCCTGCAGTTATTGTCCTAGATATTAGCCAAATCAATTATATAATCGTATAGACGTAGAATGTCAATTTTTTGAATTCAATTAATCCTTCCTAATAAGCAATTACCAAAAGTACCTACAGATTAGTAATAACATTGCATGTATTTACTTAAGTACATTAAAATACATATAGCTTGTTGTATAAGGTAACATGTGAAATATTAGACGAATAAAAAGTCCTTGTATTATAACATAATAAGAATAAGCAAACTAATTATTGTAACT